CATCTTCGATTATCTGACTTGCACTTTGTGCAACATTATTAGGTTCTACAAATTTTTTATACCTTGTTTTTCTGGCTTTGAACTACTTTTCTACCTTCAAAGAATTATTGGCTGATTTATTACACTCTTTTTTGCGGCGCATCAAATATTACAGTATCATCTAATATCCTCAATTATCTGACTTGCACTTTGTGTAATAGTGTTAGATTCCACTGGTTTCACCATGTTTTGTTCTTCTAGCTTTTTAGATACTATCTTATCATCTATTTTTTGGTTCATGGATAAAATCTGATAATTTTGTCTGTAATAAATTTATCATCAAAGGTTAAATTTCCATAAAATAATTTACATACAATATAAATATAATCTTCTATCAACTTACATGCTGCCCGAATGAACTGTATGACAAAATTTATTTTATTGCTGCTTGCTGGTTTAGGACTATTTGTTGTCTTCTTATTTAGTAGATTTCGCTAAGCAACTCTCCCAAAATATCATCATCTTTAGCCACTACATTGATGTTTTTCTTAGAGGGCATATTTCTAATCATACTTTGAATATCCCCTTTTTTCCCATTTTCTTCCTTTCTTTTCTTTCTAGGTCCAGCCATATTATGATGTCTTGTTTTCTTGCTTCTTGAATGCTTTCTTCATCTAGATCATCATCAAAGATCTCCCTCCCATCTTCAACATATCCACTTTCTCCTACAATTGAAAATATTAATTTAAAATGCTTCTATACATTAATTTCTATAAAGATTAAAATTTTTTTCTTCCAAAATGTTTTACAAACAAATTGTTCTTTAATCTAATCTGCTTTACTTATAATGAAACATTTTATATCTTTCTCTCTGAAATGAGAAACTTTTATACCATCGTCAACTATCCAATCATCCCGCTGACGTTTCAGGACAGTATTGCTATATTCTTTCTCATCGACTTCATCATATACATTTTCTAACTCTTCAATCTCATATTTGCGTTTTCCACCACTTCGAAGCTCTTTCAATCTTTCTAAAGCTGAGAGTCTGCCAGTTTTATCAATCTTTTGACGCTTAGTTCTGCCAGAGGTAGATGCTAAAATATTTTTTATAAAGAACAAAAATATGCAGTACTCATATTCAGTATTTAAAACAAATAATAACATGATGCAATTTTCATACTACTTATTCTATACGATCAATTTTATGTCAACAATCAAATATCAATGTTTACTGAATGATCAGTCATGCAAATACTAAATGTAAACAAAAGATTTAAAGAAAATGCAGTAGTGTTTGCAAATATATAATACGTCCATTGTAGACATTTGATTATACAGAATTGTATTATTTCGCGATTGACAAATTACTTACGCTGCGAATCGTCCATTATTGCTGCAATTCTATGGAAAACACCTTTGTTAGCATAAACACGCAAATGCCACTTCTTGTCGCACTAGTTCGATTCGACATGTGATTTTTGGCGGGAGATAAGTACATGTGAATCTCGAATGCATCGATATCGATATATCTCGCAGTTCGATATAACTCGACGGACTTGAGATTTGTCCGCGTTATGGCGCCTGCAGATCAATTTTCTAGTTATATAGCTAAACTGTGCACATAAGGGTCGGCAGTACACCCAGGCAAACTCCGAATTGATATTGGAGACACAGATTAATAGACAGATCGCCAAAGGTCTGGATGAAGGAGAGACCAGCATTTCTCACTGATTTCAGCGCCATATCGTAGTAGTAGTCAATGCAGTAACTATTAATACGTTCCCAAGATAAGAGCGTCTCATGCTCATGAACTCGTCCGGCGGCATGTACGAGATTTATCTTTTCGTAGCGTTCGCGTATTTCGGAAAGGACAGAATTTTATGATGTTATAAATAAATAAATAAATAAAATATTAACCTGACCTATTATAATTATTTTTTAATAAATGTTTCATTATTATTATCATCTAAGTCTAAGTCGTTTAATTAATTTTTAGTTTTTTAATAATTAATTTAATTTATTCTAATCATTTTAATATGTGAAAAATACTAATACGTATACGTTTTATAATGAATTAATATATTTCGAGAGTCGAATTATATATTTTTAATAATATAAAAGTGTTCAAAAATTATATTTGACTTTTAATTTTAATTATTTTAGCAAAGAGTTCCGAAATCTCTTACACACATAATAGAGATTTTGTTCATCCATATAATTCGCAATTAAGTATATATGTTAATTATTAATTTTAATAAAATACAAAATTAAAATTAAAGGTCAAATATAATTTTTGAACATAAATATATTTAATTCGTTATAAAACGTATACCCGTGATAGTATTTTTCTCGTACAAAAATAACTAGAACAAATTAAATTACTCATAAAAAAATTAAAAAATAATTAAATAATTTATATTATATATGATAATAATAAAACATTTTATAAAAAAAACAGATTCAATAAATATAAGTATATATATAACATGTACTTATATTTATTGAATCTGTTTTTTAATAAAATGTTTTATAAGCTTAGAAAACTTGACTTTGACGTAACTAGCAAATTTTATTTAATTATTTCACGACGGTTTGACGTAATAAAATGTTTTATTATTATTATATAAAATATAAGTTTAAATTCTTTAATTAATTTTTAATCTTTTATGATTAATTTAATTTACTCTAATTATTTTTGTACGAGAAAAATACTATCATGGGTATACGTTTTATAATTAATTTAATATATTTGTGTTTAAAAATTATATTTGACCTTTAATTTTAATTTTTATTTTATTAAAATTAATAATTAACATATATACTTAATTGCGAATTATATGGATGAAAAAAATCCCCATTATGTGTGTAAGAGATTTCGGAACTCTTTGCTATAAAATAATTAAAATTAAAAGTCAAATATAATTTTTGAACACTTTTATATTATTAAGAATATATAATTCGGTTCCCGAAATATATTAATTCATTATAAAACGTATACGTGATATTATTTTTCTCATATAAAAATGACTAGAATAAATTAAATTAATTATTAAAAAACTAAAAAGTAATTAAACGACTTAGACTTAGATGATAATAATAATGAAACATTTTATTAAAAAAAGATTCAATAACTAGTAGGTCAGGTTATAATTTTTTATTTATTTATTTATAACATTATGAGCTATTAAGCTCATCATCTCGTTCGCTCTCTGTCTTGCTTTCATTCGGCAAGTCACAAACGATATATGATACTCGTATGTTCCTACTTCAACTCTCGAGAATCTGAAACAAACGAAACTCGTGTCCAATATACAGGGTGTCCGGTAACTAACAGACCAATGATTACAAATGGATTCTTTGGTCAATTTGGGAACGATTTTTCCTCAGCGAAAATGTCGAAAAAGGTCATCATTTTTTACAACTTTCCAATCTTTGTCATTATGTATCTTTATAACTAAGCCTTAAATTAAAATTTTATTATAGTAAACTCTACCTGAAATTAACTGAAGAATGTAATTATGTTAGACTTTTAACTCCAAAACGTTTAGTTTTCAAAAAACCTATTTTTTTCAATCGCTTATAACTCGAAAATTATTGACTTCTCAACATTTTTGCTAAGGAAAAATCGTCTCCAAATTGGCCAGAGAATCCGCCCTTAATCATTGGTCCGTTAGTTACCGGACACCTTGTATATATTATATAAAAGTGTATAGCACGTCAGAAGCTTGTGAGCTTACAGCGATAAGTAAAAACAATTGCGTATTTATTTCATTGCGTTTATCTGTTTAAACGCGCGCTTTAATTTTTCCAACGTTTTTGCCTGTTTATATTTTAAAGGTCCTCTCTTCTAAAAATCTTGTTTTAAAGATCCTCTCCGCGAGCAAAATTCGAAAACATAAATTATTTAATATTTTTACTTTATTATTTGTAAATCCTCGGTAATTTCAAAATTTTTCTATTTGAAAATTATTAATTTTCTATTGCCAATTAATTTTATCACAGACTTTACTCTTACTCCCATTGCACTTTCGTTTGCGGTTTTCAGTATACGATTTTTTATCGTAGTTACTGAAAATTATTATTGTGAATTATACTTGTGCAGTGATTTGAAGAATTTACAATTTCGTTGAAATTGTTGATTTTTCAAAAAAATTACGAGATTCGCGGAAATTGCGTGCTTTCTTGGCATTTTCCGTTCGCGGCAGGCGGTTTATTTTTTATTGTTGCAAGTGTTTTTGTTTTTTTTTTATTAAAATAGATAATAATAATGTGAAATAAATCACGATATTTGACAGATGTGCATATATATAGAAATTGTAATAATAATAATATTATATCATAAAATTGTAAATTGTTTCAATTTTTTATAGACTGCGATAAAAGATTTTACATTTGGATAAGAAACTGCGGTAAGTAAAAATATAAAATTCTTGAAAACGTAAAAATATTTGATAACGTAAAAAGGTGAACTTTGAAAAATAAGGAACTTAAAAATTGCACTAATAAATGGGCTATATATATGTGAGCCGTGCGCGGATGTAAGGTGTGTTATATCGAAATTTAATTAATAGAATTGAGAATTAATCCCAATTTTAAGTCTTACAAATGTCCAAGCTAATTTTTTGTACCTCGTGTACATTTTTGAAAGTTATATCGAAAAATTAAATTTCAATATGCGTCTTACATCTCACATTTCGCATACGGCTCACATATAGCCTATTTATCTCTTATACTTTATTTCAACCCTTATAGAAATTTATTACTAGTAACGCCAATTTATCACTTATTTCGAGTAATTAATCACTTTTATTTCGAATACTTAAATTACTGTATATTATAGTATTTTAAATACTCAAAATAAGTGATTAATTGGCGTAGTGATAAATTTCTACAAGAGAATAAGGAGCCTTTAAATTCTTAATGTAAAAAATTTCAAGTAATTTTCTTTAATAAAATTTAATTAAAAAATTTAATTAAAAAATTTTTGAACACTGTGTTATATCACATTTAAAATCGTGATTATTTCAATAAAAAAACATTTTATGTGTAAAAAATATATTTTTTATATTTAATAAATTTTATATATATATGCATATATGTAAAATATTCTCTCTCTCTCTCTCTCTCTCTCTCCTCTCACACACACACACACACACACACACACACACACAACGGGGGCCAAATCTCTCAAATTGGTCTCATGATCAATTAGCCTGGATTCGCACCAGGGGCAAAGTCTGTTGGTAATGTCAAACGAATTTAGCCTGGACTTGCACCAGGGGCAAAGTCTTTTGGTCGAGTCTACGAAATTTAGCACGGACTCGAACCAGGGGCAAAGTCTTTTGGTTCAAGTCTACGAATTTAGCACGGACTCGAACCAGGGGCAAAGTGTGTCGGTAAGGGGCAAAGTCTATCGCACGAAGATGGCGGTCTCTTCTTTAGGCAGGCCTTTGGCGATCTGTCTATTAATCTGTGTTGGAGACCTCGTGCGGTGACAACGCGAAACTCCGGTTTCAGTGTTGCCAACGCCGAGAAACCAATTCTCGGGTTTTATGTAGTGGTGTATGTCTGTACACGTACATACACCAACTGCATCGCTCACGCGGACGCACGTAAGAGAGACAAGGACCGATAATCACGTGTTCTCCTTGTTCATCTACCGTGCCGGTATACGCGAGATGCCGCCTGAAAATGCTTTCTGGCCTTCCGTAGCAGAAAGCAGTAACGTAGCAAGACTAATAAGCACCCACTTTTTGGAAATTGTATATATGGTTATGCACATATGTGCATAACGTATATATATAACATATATATATATATATATATATATATATAAGGGATATGTTGATTATATTCTTGATTTCTTTTTGATTATTGATGCTATTGTATAATTTGCTCCAAATACTTATAACGTGAAAGAACGTTGAGTAATGTATAATCAATGCAAGGATGTTCAGTATATCATCCAGTATATAAATTAGAGTTCAAATATATCAATATCAATTTTTTTATAATATATATATATATATATTAGAATATAGAAAAATGATAAAAAAATATATTTCGGCGATTTAAAAATTTTTTAATATATTGAAAATATTTTTACTACATACACTATATATAAGTGTAAAATAATTCAGAAAATAAATTTAATAAAAATCTACATACCAGCTGTGTGCATGTGTGCAATTGATTTATTACTTGAAATTTATTTACGGAATTATTTTGCATTTATATATTTATAGTATGTGTAGTTGTAAAATGATTAAAATATTTTCAATATCAAATTTTTAAGTTTATCGCCTATATAAAAATATATTTCTATGATTTTCTATATTCCAATATATTATAAAAAAATTGATATTGATATATTTGAACTCAAGTTTTTTACGTGATTAAATATTCTTGCATTGAGCCATCATACGTTACTCGTAAGTTCTTTCACGTCATAAGTACTTATGTAGCAGAGAGAAAGAAATGAGAGTTATACAATGTAACATCAATAATCTTATATATTATAATCTTATATATTATATATATATAATATTTCATTTATTTATAAAAAACATTTTATAAATAAGTAAAATATTATACAGACAATGTACAAGATGTTCAGTTTGTGCCATAACAAGCTTCAATCAATAATTATTACTCCAATGA